GCCCCCGCCGGCTCCCCGCCCCTTTGGCGGGTGGGAGGTTTTGGGGGGCGGGAGGGGTGGGGTGTCTGCGACCCACGCCAGCCCCCACCTACCCCTCGGCCCCGGCCAGCCGGCCCAGGGCCTGCACGAGGCCGCCCGCGCCCCTGACGCTGTCCGCGTGCTTCTCATTGGACGTCACCTGCAAAGGACAGGGGTCAGGAGGTCAGGAGGTCAGGGGCCCCGCGGGGCCGCTCCGGGCAGGCTGAGGTCCGGAGGATGGTGCTGTGAGCCCAGCTGGGGAGAAGGAAAGCCAAAACCCGCAGCGGTGCGGGGTGTGTGCAAGCTCTCCCGCCCCACCACCCGCCACAGCTGCGCTGCCCCTCCCCGCAGCCGGGACGGACAGACGGACAGCAGCCACCGCCCCTGACCCGCCTGCCACCATCCACGCATCCGTCCCCGCGCGCTCACCATCCTGCGGAGGATCCGCAGCAGCAGCTTTCGCTCCCGGGGCTCGGGCCGGGCGCCCAGCGCGGCCGCCCAGCTGTGCAGGTGCGCGGGGGCCAGGCGGGCCGGCCGCTCCCCGCCGTACAGCTGCGCCAGCACCGACAGGCAGCGCGCCGCCGCCTCGAACACCTCGGGGTCCTCGCTGGGGAGCTGGGGGCAGGGGCCGAGGGCACGGAATGGAAATGCGGGACTCATCCCGCGGAGCGCGGCTCCGAGCCGGCCTGCGCCCGCGGGACTCCCATCCCCCGCGGACCAAAGCAAGCCGCCAGGGCTGCCGTGGCTCGCGGGGTAGAGCTGAGGGACAGCGCCCCGAGTTCAAGACCCAGGGCCAGCGGCAAGAGTAGAAGCAGGCTTAAGACAGATGGCCCCTGCACAGAGAAATCCATCCCCCCGGAAACGCAGCACGGACACAGAGGGTTGGGGAAGCCCGCGGCCCTGCTCTTGGGGCTCGGGGGCCGGCTACGGCTTGGGGGTGCCCCGGCCAAGCGCTTACCAGCAGGATGAGGTGGCTGGAGAGGCCCGTGAGCGGCTTGCTGTGGACCAGAAGGTTCTCGGCGGCCTGCGTGGCCCCTCCGGAGCCCGACTTCTGGGCCTAGAACATGTGGGAGACACGTTTTTGTCTGTTGGGCTGGTGCTGGGACTTGAACTCGGGGCCTGGCATTGTAACGGAGCCTCTTTGTGCTCAAGGCTGGTGACGCTCGGGGCTTTTCTGGTGGTTCCTTGGGAGAGTCTTCGGACGTTCCTGCCCAGGCTGGCTTTGAACCGCCGTCCTCGGACCTCAGCCTCTGGGGGGTGGGACGGGCGGGCTCCGAGCACCCACCTGGAGCGCCTGGCGGACCACCCCGGACGCGTGCGTCAGCATGGCCTGCAGGATGTCCAACAGAGAGCGGAGCAGCGCCGTGGCCATCTCGTTGTTGCTTTTGCTCATCCCGTCCAGGTAGAGCGTGGCCGTGTGCGTGAACAGGCCACACACGCGGCTCACCAGCCCTGGGCGGTGGGGACGGAAACGGTCATCATAAATGACACGCGAGCAAAGGGTGAGCGGCGGGCGACCAGCCCAGAGACTCGGGAGGCTGAGATCGGGAGGATCGTGGTTCAAAGCCAGCCCAGGACACCTAACATCCGCTCGGCAAGCAAGCCGGAAAACCCAAGTGAACCTGAGAGATCCTGAGCTCAAGCCCCAGCACCAGCACCAGGGAGGAGAGAAGGAGGGAGGGAGGGAGGGAGGGAGGGACCCAGCCTCTCCCAACACAGCTCCTGTGTTCGTTTGTTTTTCCTGTCAGTCGTGGGGCCTGGGCGCCGTCCCTCAGCTCTTCCACCTGAGCCACTTCCGGCTTTCTGGTGCTTCGTGGAGGTCAGAGTCTCTGGGACTTTGCTGCCTGGGCTGGCTTTGAACCGCGATGCTCCGCTCTCAGCTCCCTGGGTGACCATCACTACAGGCCGAGCCACTGGGACCCAGCGGGGCAGGAATCTGAATACAGCTCTCACGGGGAGCCACGGGGCCCGCCCAGGCCCAGGCCCAGGCCCAGGCGACAGACAGCGCCGGTCACTCCCCAGCTCCGCCACGGGAGGGCGCCGCAGGCCCCGCGGTCCTGGCGTGAGGGATTGTACGTCCTCACGCTGCAGCACCAACACGCTGCGCTGTCACGCGTTCCCCGCAAGGGGGAGACGCAACCACAGGCTCGACGTGAGCGCCCTCTGCGCTGGGGCCCCAACTCCCCCCGGGGCGCTGTTCTGAGATCTTCATCTTTGGGGGTGCGGGGGGGGGGGTCAGGCCTGCTGCTCTCGCACTTGAGCCACAGCTCCATTCGCAGCTTTTGGATCAACACACACGCACACGCATGCACACACACACACACACACGTGCACACACATACACGCACACACACATGCGTGCAGACACGCACACACGCACACACACGCACGCACACACATGCGTATGCGCACACACATGCGTGCAGACACGCACACACGCACACGCACGCACACACGCGCACACACACATGCACACACACATGCACACGCACGCACACGCACGCACACACGCACGCACACACGCGCACACACACATGCACGCGCACACACACATGCACACGCACGCACACACGCGCACCCCCCCCCGCAGGCGCCCGTGCCGCAGGCCGCCCTCACCGTGCTCGTACAGCAGGTTCAGGTTCGAGTCCCGGCTGGCCACCAGGTTGCTGAGCAGCGCCACGACGCTCTGCGAGCTGCTCCCCGCCACGCCCTCCTGCGGCTCCTGCAACACCCGCGCCAGCATCACCGCCGCGGCCAACACACGCTGTGCGCGCGCGTCTATCCTGGGACTCGAACTCGGGGCCTGGGCCCTCTGTGACTCACGGCTGGCGCTCTTCCACTTGAACCACGGCGCCATGTTGAGCCCCCTCAGCGACTGCCCTTCCCCTCCCGCCCCCTCCCCTCGGCCTGGCTTTGGGGGAAGAGCCGAGAAAGAGCGCGAGCCCCTAGATGGCCGCCTGCTTTTGCCAGCTCGGAAATGCCCACGCACGGGCGCGCATGCTGGCCCAGTGGCCAGGGAGGCCGAGCCGGAGGATCGCGGTGCGAGGCCAGCCCACGCTGGGAAGCCTGGGGCACTACCTCCAAAGGACGCGGCCAAAAGCCGGAAGTGGAGCTGTGGCTCAAGGGGTGCAGCGCCAGCCCAGAGAGGCGACAGCTGCGGGACGGTGAGCACCCAGGCCCTGAGTTCAAGTCCCAATACTAGTGCAACCCCCTCCCCCAAACCAGCACCGCCCCAGCCCGGCCCGGGGCCGCTGCAGAGGAGCGGCGCCTGCTCACCAGGATGAGGTCGAAGATGAGCGGCAGCAGCAGCTTGCTCTGCACCACCAGCCTGCGGAAAACAACCCGCACAGCGTTACGGAAGGCTTTCGTTGGTCGTGGGGCCTGAACTCTGAGCCTGGGCGCCGTCCTTCAGCTCTTCAGCTCAAGGCTAGCACTCTACCACTTGAGCCACAGCGCCACTTCCAGCTTTTTCTGCTTATGTGGTGCTGAGGAATTGAACCCAGGGCCTTATGCATGCAAGGCAAGCGCTCTACCACTGAGCCACCTGCCCAGGCCTTGTGCGATCCATTAAGAATTTGCTCCAACTCCGTGGCACAGCGCAGCGCGCGGCGTGTCGCTGTGCTGTGGAGGAAGACTCCACTCCCGCGTGAAGTCGTGCTGCGCGTGGGTGGCTCAGCCTGCCATCCCAGCGACCCCGGAGGCTGAGGCCTGAGGATCGTGGTTCGAGGCCAGCCCGGGCAGCAGCAAAATTGGCTGATCTCCAGTGAACCAGCAGAAAGCCCAGCAGTAACACCATGGCTCAAGGGGTAGAGCGCCCGCCTTGAGCAAAAGCAGCTCAGGGGCAGTGTCCAGGCCCTGAGTTCAAAAAATCACCATCACCTTACACGGGGTGCGTGGCTCAAGCGGCAGAGTGCCCGCCTAGAAAACCCAGTGTCAGAGCTCAAATCCCAGGGGCGGCGGGGAACGCACACACACAACCCGGACACGTCGCCCCCCCCCGTGCCCCCCGCCCCGAGGTGGGGAGGGCTGCGACTCATGGCACCTGGTGAGGGTGGCGTTCTGCTCCGTCATGGCCACGAGGAGCTTCAGCGCGTACGCAGGGACAGGGCCGGACTCCGTGAGGACCTGCGCGAACCTACAGAGATGCACACGCCCGCCGCTCAGCTCCCGACCGCATGCACGCCCGTGAGCTCTGGTCCCTCACTACTCAGGAGGCTGAGATCGGAGGATCATGATTGGAGGCCAGACCAGGCAGGAGAAACAGTGAGACTCTTATGCTCAATGAACCACTCAGGAAACCACAAGTGGCGCTGTGGCTCAAGTGGTAGAGCGCTCGCCTTGAGCTGAAGAGCTGAGGGACAGCGCCCAGGCCCCGAGTTCAAATCCCAGAATGGACAAAGTGTAAGAAACAATCCCTAAGGCCCCCTGACCCCGTCCTGCGCCTCTGGGGACAGAGCAGGGGCAGCTGCTGCGGGGGGGGGGGGGCGGCACTCACTGCGGGAGCAGCGTGTCTCGCACGAGGCTCAGGAGGGCGCTGTCCGACTTGGCCTGGGCCGCCTCCGCCCCCGCGCCGGCCTCGGGGTTCACGAGCAGCGACGTAGCTTCTGACAGCAGCCGCAGGCTCACCAGCCGCCACTCCACTGCGAGGGGGGGAGCGGGAAGGAAGCGGGCGCGCCGGTCATCCAGGCCGCTCAGGAGGCTGAGATCCGGAGGATCGCAGTGCAAGGCCAGCCTGAGAGACTCTCGTCCCCAAGGAACCACCAGAAAACTAGAAGTGGCGCTGTGGCTCCAGGGGTAGAGGCTCGCCTTGAGTCAGAGCCCAGGGACAGCGCCCAGACTCTGAGATCGAGCCCCACGACTGACACACAGAAAGGAAAACATGGAAAACCCCAATAACAAAGCAGAGCGTGGAGAGACGGGAGCGCGCAGCCGCCGCCGGCTTCTCCACACCAGCCTCACCGTTTTGACTTTGGAGCAGAGACACTAACGGAGGCAGGACGTAGCCGACGACCTGCAAGCAAGCAACAGCGCGGGTTCGAATCCCTGATCAAGGGGAAGCCAGCGGCAAGCACCAAGACAGAACCAACCATGCAGGAAAAATGGGGGACCCAGGGCGCCCCCGGCGCGTCATCCCAGAGACTCAGGAGGCTGCGATCCGGAGGATGGCAGTTCCGAGCCAGGAAAGCCTATGAGACCCTCAACAACAATGAACCACCAGAGAACCGGAAGTGGCGCTGTGGCTCAAGTGGTAGAGCGCCAGCCTTGAGCTGAAGAGCTGAGGGACAGCGCCCAGGCCCAGAGTTCAAGTCCCAGGACTGACTTTTATTCTGAAGTTCCATCCTCTATCCTCAGATCGCCAGCTTCCTGAGTGGCCGGGATTACAGGCATGCCTACCAGCGCCCGGGAGAAAGGGTCTGTCTGAAAGTCAGTTCCCAGGGGAGCCTCCGTGGCCTTGCGGTTGGGATGACCACGGAACTGCCGCTCCCCGGGCGGCCGAGGCCGGGGTGGAGGCCAGGGGAGGTGGAGCGCCAGCGCCCCCTGGTGGGCAGAGCACTCGCCGCACCATCCCCAAACCCTCACCGTGGCGTGGTGCTGCTTCAGGAAGGCCGGGTACTGGATCACCGCTTCTAGAGTGGACAGGGCCATCTTGATGAACTCGGCTGCCGCCGCCGGCCCTGCGCACGCACACAACCACGCCTTATTCTCCATGCACCACCGCTTTTTGTCGGTCGTGGGGCTTGAACTCAGGGCCTGGGCGCTGTCCCTCAGCTCTTCTGCTCAAGGCTGGTGCTCTACCACTTGAGCCACAGATATGGCGCCACTTCCGGTTTCCTGAGCGGTTTTGATTGGAGGGTCTCACGTGTTTCCTGCCCGAGCTGGCCTCAAACCACGATCCTCCACATGTCAGCCTCCAGAGTAGCTGGGATGACAGGCGCGAGCCGCTGGCGCCCGGCTGTCACCTGCATGTTCTAAATGCCAGCTGCTAATGGTGTCAGACACAAGCACGAGATTTTGGGGCAGCTGTACGCCAGTGGCTCCCGCCTGTCACCCCAGCGACTCAGGAGGCTGAGATGTGAGGATCACAGTTCAAAGCCAGCCCGGGCAGGAAAGACTGTGAGACTCCTATCTCTAATAAGCCACCAGAAAACCGGAAGTGGCGCTGTAGCTCAAGTGGTAGAGCGCTCGCCTTGAGCTGAAGAGCTGAGGGACAGCGCCCAGGCCCTGAGTTCAAGCCCCACCACTGACAAAAGAAAAACCGTGGTGCACTCACCGACGGCGCTGTCGATGTTGGTTTCTCCGGAGTCGATCGACTTAATGTGACCCTGAAAAGCATGAAATCCTCAATAAGCGGCGGCCGCACGCCACAGCGCAGGGAGAATCCGGCCGTGGCGCGGCGTCTTCTCAGCTTCAGGACACATCACGTCAAAACTACCCGAGGGGCGCCGGTGGCTCCCGCCCGTTATCCCAGCGCCTCGGGAGGCTGAGGTCTGGAGGATGGCGCGTTGAGGCCAGCCCGGGGAAGGAAAAGTCCCGGTCGGACTCTGGTCTCCACTGAAACCGCCAGACAGCCGGAAGTGGCGCTGTGGTTCAAGGGGCAACAGCAGCAGGCCTGAACACGCAGCGCGCAGGGCCACGGCGCCGGGGCGGGGGCTCCCGGCCCAGGACTGGCACGAAGAGACAAGGCGGACTCACCAGAAGCGTTCCGTAACTGAAGAGGAATTCCTCCGTGATGACTCGAGGCCGGAATACCTGGGGGGGGGGGGGTTGCAGGGATGGACGTGTGAAAGCCAAGAAGCACGGACGGACGCTGGGCTCAAGCGAGAGACCCCGCCGCCCTGTGGAGCATGCTCAGGGCCGCTGCCCCGCCCCCCCTCCTCCTCCAGGGCTGGATTTCCGGGGGCGGGGGGGTTGTCACCTGGGAAGTGACCAAGTACAGGGCCACGGGCATCATGGGAAGGCACAGCTTCAGCTGCCGGCCTTGGACCGTCGACGGGTGTTTGCGGCCGGACACGTTAGCCAGGGCCTGGAGGATGTCCCCTGCAGGCACAGACACAGCGCCGACGGCCGGGCGCGGCGGCTCACGCCTGTAGTCCCGGCTACCCGCCGGGCTGAGATCTGGAGATCGGGGGGCGGGGGAGGGGAGGGGGAGGGGGCCTACCCAGAATGCCCGGCAGCTCCTGGGCGACGTGCTGCGTGAGCAGCCGCAGGCACCGGGCCAGGTGCTGGGCGCAGCCCTGCGGCTCGGGGCGCGGCGAGGTCCTCCTGCTGTCCCTCTCGATGTACATCACCAGCCTGCGGGCGCAGCGCAAGCCGTGGCGGCTCTGCGCGTGCGCAGGCCCGGGGGGGGGGGCCCAGCACGCCGACCCCGAGCCACTGCCCCCCCCCCCGTGCGGGTGCACCCAACAAAGCTCACGGGGCACCCGGGGGCTCACGCCCGTCCTCCCAGCGACTCGGGGAGCCCGAGATCCGGAGGATCGTGGTTCGAAGCCAGCCCCAGGCAGGAAAAGGTCAGGAGGTTCTCATCTCCAAGGAACCCACCAGAAATCAGAAGCGCAGCCCTGGTTCTAATTGCAGGGCTCCAGCCTTGAGCTCAAAGAGGCTCAGGGACGGCGCCCAGGTCCTGAGTTCCAGCCTTTCCAAGTATGTTTGGCTACTGATTGTGTGTGTGCTGGCAATGACTCAGGGTTTGGGTCCTGGTGCTCTACCACTTGAGCCGCAGCGCCACTTCCAGTTTTCTAATGGTTCACTGGAGATCAGAGTCTCACAGACTTTCCTGCCCAGGCTGGCCTCGAACCACGATCCTCCGGATCTCAGCCTCCCGAGTAGCTGGGATGACAGGCAGGAGGCGCAGCGCCCTGAGTTTATTCAGGATTGTAAAAACCTTCTCCTGGCCTCTCTCAGTGTCTTGCAGTTGCGCTCTCTTACACTGTGTCGCGTTCACAGCAGCCTCGTCTCTACACAGACCCTCTTGCCGCTGGCTGTGGTTGGTTTTGGGGGGGAGTGGAGGGGGTGACGGCTGTTGAATTAGATGACTGTTTAAGCCGCGCGCGGTGGCGTTTGCCACGCCAGCAGCAGAGGACAATCGGTTGTTCCCACACGGTTAACCAATCATCTACACTACTTTCTTTTGGAAAAGTTAAAACAACAACAACAAAATCACCATCGTCATCATCGTCATCATCATTTTAAAAAAGCAGCCCCATTTCCCGTAATCTCTTCCAGGCATCGGCTGAGAAGAATGTGTGTCACAAAACCAAATGGCAAAAAAGTCTAGCCCCGGCCGGGCGTCCGGTAGCGCACGCCTGCAGTCCCAGCCAGTCAGGACGCTGAGATTCGAGACTTGCCATCCGAAGCCGGCCCGGGCAGGAAAAGGCCCCCGTGAGACTCCTAACTCCAGTGAGCCCGCAAAAATGCCAGAAGCGGCGGTGTGTCTAGAGCGGGAGAGCGCCAGCCTCGCGGGGGGCTGGTCTCCCACGCGGTGCCCCCCCCCTCCCCTGACCCAGAGAACGAGCAGAAGGTGGGGGGAGGCTGGGGGTGGGTTCCCAGCATGGCTCCCGGGCCTCGCTTCCTGTGTGACGGCCGGCCGCGCTGCGCACTGCCCGGCCGGGCTCCGCCTCGCCGTCCCTGCGTCCCGGCCGGGGAGAGGCTCACCTGGCGTGGCAGGTGAGCAGCAGCATCTCGCGGTTGTGGATGAGGGTGTAGAGGAGCACCAGGAAGGCTTTGGCTCGGATGGGCGTGGAGGGGCTGTCCAGGAGCCGCATGACCGTCGACACGAAGTCCTGCGGGAGGCGTTGGAGAGCGCGGGTCGGGTGCTAAGCTAAGCCGGCCACGGCCACGGCCACCACCCCACAGACCATCATCATCATCATCACCCCACCCACGGCAGCACCCAACATCACACCCGCTACCTAATTTCCCTTTTTTGGTCGGCCGCGGGACTTGAACCCGGGGCCCGGGCGCTCTCCAGCTCAGGGCGAGTGTTTTACTGCTTTGAGCCACGGCGCCACGTCCATTCCCCATCAGAGAAAGGAAGTCTCACGACTTCCCTTCCCCTCCCTGGCTTTGAACCTCGCTCCTCCTCTCTCAGCCTGCTTGAGCAGCCGGGATTACAGGCGTGCGCTACCGGGCGGCTCCAGATAGTGACTGCGAGGGCGCTGGCCGCACCTTCTCCTGGACGAGCCTCTGCAGGTGGAGGCCGCAGGACAGCATGGTGGCGAAGAGGGTGAGCAGACACTGCTGCGCCTTGCAGGCCGAGCAGGCCAAGGCGCCCAGGACGGCCGGCAGCCCCACCTTCTCAATCACGTTCTGGAAGGCGGCGGGACACTGCCGGGTGATGCGACACAGGGCCTGCGGAGGACGAGGAGCCACAGGGCACCCGTGAGACCGGCGGGGAAGCCCGCCCACCCCGGGGCCCACGCCCATCACGCTCGCCGCTCAGGAGGCCGAGATCCGGAGGATCGTGGTCTGCGAAGCCAAACCCTGGGGGCCAGAAAGTCTGCGGCGACTCTTCTTTCCCACGAACCATCAACATAAATAAATAAAAGAGCCAGGAGTGGGGCTGTGGTAGCACCCAGCCTTGCAAGAAGCAAGCTTAGGGACAGCGCCCAGGCCCTGAGTTCGAGTCTCAGGACTAGCACAGAGACAAAAAAAAAAAAAAAAGACAGGAAAAGAACAGAATGAAGGGGAGTGGGCGAGTTCCATTTGCAAGGCCCAAGAAAGTCAGGCTGCACGCGCACACCCGACGCGCGTCGCTGCCCCTAACAACTTGTGAATATCAAAAGAAGCAAAAACCAAATCCCCAGGACCTGGAAGAGAAATACGGGGCGGAGGCGGCCCAGAGGCAGAGGACTCGGAAGGGCCACAGGAGGCCAGGTTTCAATCAATCAGACCAGAAGGACTGGTCTTCATTCAACCCACCCGAGATCAGCCGCGCATGCGTGCGCGTGCACAGCTTCCTGTCTGCCTGTCGGTCTCTCTTTCTCTCTCTGCACCCAGTGACTCAAGTCCAGCATGCTCGAGACAGCCTGTGACAAGACTGCAAAAGCAGCTTTCTCCGAGCCGGGCAGCGGTGGGTAGCGCATGCCTGCCGTCCCGGCTACTCTCGGGGCTGAGATCTGAGGATGGGGGTTCCAAGCCAGCCTGGGCATGCAAAGTCTATCAGACTTCTCTCATGTAAACCAGGGGAAACCAACAAAACCCCAAAGCGGAGGTGTGGCGCTAGCCTTGAGCGGGGCTTGGCTCTGGACAGCGATCCTCGGGATTTCAGCCTCCTGAGTGGCGAGGATGACGGGCAGGAGCCAGCGGTGCCCAGCTCCATTTCCGGCGTTTGGGAGTGGAGCGGCCCCGGTACGGGCGGGCGGGACGGGGCTGGAGCCGCGGGGCTTACCGAGATGGCGGTGAGGCGCAGCGCGTCCACGGTGGAGTGGCGGAAGAGGAACCAGAGCGCGGGGCCCGCCTCGCTGGTGATGAAGCCCTGGCCCTGCGGCGCGCCCGTGCTGCACACGTTCTCCACCACCTTCGCCGCCATGTGGTTCACCACGCGCTCCTCCTGCACACACGCGGCGCCGCTCAGCCGCGGGGAAAAGCCGGGCGGGTGACGCGGTACAGGGGGAGGGCGCCAGGCCCCCGGGTGCGGGGGGGGGGGCACTAAGGGAAAGATGGCTGCCACGAGTTCAAGGCCCGGGACTCGCAGGAGAAAGAAAAAGAAATATGGGGGAATGGAGGGACAGATGGACGGGTGGATGGATAGACAGATGGGCAGATGGACAGATAGATGGATGGGTGGATGGACAGATGGACGTGCGAATGGATGGCCAGACGGGTGGATGGACAGATGGATAGACGGATGGATGGGTGGACAGATGGATGGGTGGATGGACAGATGGACTGGTGGACGGGTGGATGGACAGATGGACGGGTGGGTGGGTGGATGGACAGATGGACAGGTGGATAGATGGACAGATGGACGGGCGAATGGATGGACAGATGGGTGGATGGACAGATGGATGGACGGATGGATGGGTGGACAGATGGATGGGTGGATGGACAGATGGACGGGTGGGTGGGTGGATGGACAGATGGACAGGTGGATAGATGGACAGATGGACGGGCGGATGGATGGACAGACGGGTAGATGGACAGATGGACAGGTGGATAGATGGATAGATGGACGGGTAGATGGACAGATGGATGGGTGGACGAGTGAATGGACAGATGGACAGGCAGATGAACAGATGGACGGGCAGATGGATGGACAGATGGACAGGCAGATGGACAGGTGGATGGGTGGATGGACGGGTGGATGGACAGATGGACGGGTAGATGGACATATGGATAGGTAGATGGATGGGTGGATGGGTGGACAGATGGGTGGATGGACAGATGGACGGATGGACGGATGGACGGGTGGACGGGTGGCTGGGTGGCTGGATGGATGGGTGGATGGGTGGATGGATGGATGGATGGATGGATGGATGGGTGGATGGGTGGATGGATGGACGGATGGACAGATGGACGGATGGGTGGATGGATGGGCGGGTGGATGGACAGGTGGACGTTGGGTGGATGGACAGGTGGACAGATGGACGGATGATGCCAACAGCATCGGTCCATCTCCAGCTAGCTCTACACAGAAGAATGGCAAGTGTCCGGCTGAGGTGGGGCTCGCCTGATCTGCACCCAGGCCCTGGGTTCGAGTCCCTGAAGCAGACACACACAATTCGCTTATCCCCGGGCGATGGCAGCTTTAGGGACACGTTCGAAGGCAAAAACCCACAGCCAACTTAAAAACACCCGGCTACTCGGAAGGCCGAGTTCCAGAGGACGGCGGTTCGAAGCCAGCCCCGGGCGGGAAAGTCCCTGAGCGTCTTTAGCTCCTAGAAACCACCAGAAGACTGGAAGTGGCGCCATATATATGTGGCTCGAGTGGTAGAGCGCCAGCCTGGAGCACAAAGCAGCGCAGGACCGGCGCGGGGCCCTGCGTCCCAGCCCCCCTTTTATCTCCCCCCAGGGCAGGTCCCTGGCTTGGCGGCTCGGTGCCCAGCAGGGGGGGAGGAACTGGGGGTCTCACCCCTTCCCGCAGGCATCTCATGACCACGGCGTAGGTGGCGGAGGGCAGCGGCCAGCACTCCCGAGGGTGGTTCTTCTTCTCCTCCTGAGGCCCAGCGGAGGGAGGAAGATGGCGAGGCGGGCGACAACGGCCCGTCCGTCCGAGGAGGAAGCAGACACGAACAAAAGAAAGGAGCCGCTCCGGCCGGGCGCTGTGGCGCACGCCTGTAATCCCCGCTGCTCCTTGGCAGCGCTGGGGGGAGGGAAGGAGGGCGCGTGTGCGTGTGGATGTGCGCGTGCGCGTGCGCGTGCGCGTGTCACCTGCGTGGCCACCAGGTACAGGAGTTCACCCAGGGCGGGCAGCAGGCACTGCTTCAATTTGCTGTTCCTAAAGTTCTCCCGGAGCAATTCCGTCAGCAGGGAGATTGCCTGAGAGACAGACAGACAGACAGACAGACAGAGCTAGTTAGTTGAGATGCATGCCATGTTCCGTAGTTTCTATATTAGCGTCCCATTCGCCTTCCTTGGGGGTCTTTGTTTTGTGCGTGTTTTGGTGCTGTGGAGATTGGAACTCAGGGCCTAGCGCTATGTGAGGCGGTTCACTCCGGACGGATCTCAGCCGGGCGCCGGGCGCCCACACCCGGCATCCCAGCCACCTGGGAGGCTGAGATCTGGAGGCTCGTGGTCCGAAGCCAGCCCGGGCAGGCAAAGTCCGTGAGATTCTGATCTCCTATGAAACCACCAGAACGCCGGAAGTGGCGCTGCGGTTCAAAGTGGTAGAGCGCTCGCCTTGAGCTGAACAGTGCCCAGGCCCAGAGTTCAAGGCCCACAACAAACACAACAAAACACAACTATCCTAAAAAGGGAGGAGTGGGAACGAGGCGTCGGCGGCCCACGCCTGCCACCCCAGCTACTCAGGAGGCTGAGATCGAGAGGATCGCAGTTCAAAACCAGCCCAGGGCAGGAAAGTCCATGAGGCTTTTATCTCGAATTATCTACAAACAACAAAAACCAGAAGTGGTGCTGTAGCTCAAGTGGTAGAGCGCCAGCCTTGAGGAAAATAAAGCTCAGGGACAGCGCCCAGGCCCTGAGTTCAAGCCACAGGTTAAAGAAAAAAAAAAAACACCCCCAAAACAAGCAGCAATGAAATACTGCGTGGGGAGGGGTCCCCTAAGAAATAACTTAAGAGCGGGCATGATGACTGCACACGGTCACCTTAGCTTGTTGGGAGGTAGGTAGAGATTTGGAGGCCCACGGTGCGAATCCAGCCCAGGCAAAAAAAGCTCACGCGACACCTAGCGGCTGGCGCGGAGCGGTGCAGCCAGCTGCGGGCGGCCAGGGAGCTACTCGGAGAATCGCAGCGCCCCCGCCCGGCCACACATCACATCTCCCAAGTAGCACAAGCGCCACCCAGGGCCATGACTCAAGGGGCGGGGCGCCTGCCCACCCGGAGAGGACCAGGCCAGCCAGACCAAGGAGAGAGCGGACAGCGCACCTCGACCACGGGCGCGTTGTCCTGCAGCTCGGTGGTGTGGGACGCCAGCAGGGCGATCACGCGCGCCACCTTGGAGCGTCTGCGGGGGACACAGAACACGGGCTCGGGCCGGCCGGCGAAGGAGGCTCAGTGGCAGGGCGCTCGCCCGGCACACAGGAGGCCCCGGGTTCGAGTCCTCAGCAGCACACACGCCGAAAAAGCCGGAAGTGGCGCTGCGGCTCACATGGTGGAGCGCCAGCCTTGAGTGGACAGGAAGCCCCCAAGTTCGCATCCCTGCTCTGGCACACACGCACACACGCACTGGTCTCTTTCACGACAAATACGTACGTGAAGGACAATTTTGGAAGCTTCTAGAACTCCCCGCAATCTCAGACTTGAATTTAGAACATTCAGCATAATGGCTTTAGCTTTCTTTTTAAAGCTTACAATCCAGCAGTCTCCAGACACGCCCCGAGTCGACAGTTACCACGGGTCCATAGTAGGTGCTCATTTAGGACGGCAGTTACCGGGCCCCCAGTGCAAATGCTTCAAGGACTTACACATCCCAGTTTGTGGCGATCCGCAGGTGTTGCACGAGCAGGTTGAACTAGGACACAAAGTTCAACACGGACATTCTAGTCCACCGCCCACCGCCCAGAAAAGGAACGGCTCAGCGACTCCCTCAGACTAAAGGGTAAATGGTTGCCCGTGGGGGGGACCTGAGGGACCTCCGCACCGGCTCTGTGCGGGCTGCCCGGGACCTACCAGGGGGGAATGCAGGAGCCGCGTGGCCACGGCCTTGTGAGACGCCACCGCGCACAGGTAGCACAGGAGGTTGAGCTTGGCCCGCGAGGCCACTGTGCTCTTCTCTGTGGAGTCGAGCTGCGAGCAGGCCTGTTGCAGGAACTTGCTCCAGTCCTGCTCCCTCAGACCCAGCAGCTTCTCGGCTGCCCTCGGGAGAAGCAGAGCTTTGCACAGGGCGTGCGGAGGGGCGGAGGGGCCCAGACCCCCTCAGAGCCCGGCGCTCGCCTCTCAGCCCAGTGACCCCTGGAGGCTGAGATCTAGAGGATCGAGGTTCAAGGCCAGCCCCGAGCAGGGAGAGTCGGTGACACTTTTAGCTCCAGGGAAGCATGCAGAACAAGCCGGGAGTGGAGCTGAGGCTCAAGTGGAAGAGCGCCAGCCTGGAGCCACAGAGCAGCTCAAGGGATGGCGCCCAGGCCCTGAGTTCAAGCCCCACGACCGACACGTACGCAAGAGAAACAGGAGCGACAAAAGGGAGAATTTCATCATGCCCGTCCCAACGGGAGGATTTCCAGGCAGGGCTGCCAGATGGGCCTGTTTAGAGAGGGCGCGGAGGGTTGAGGAGGAGTTTTATGGTCCTACCGGAATGCGCGGGGAGATGCAGGATTTTGGGATCAAACTTCATCGGCGGCGGCTTCATTATCTGTGATGCAGATAAGAAATACAAAATGCCATCTCAATTCTGATCATCTGTCTCCTAATGTGTCCCCAGCGTCAGGTTACAGACAAAAGAGAACGCAAGAAGAGACTGTCAGCAAGAACAGCAATTCAAACCCGGGATCTTTATGATTGCCCGAGGCAGCGGGGCGCCGGGGGCTCACGCCAGTCATCCTAGCTACTCAGGAGGCTGAGAGCTGAGGATCGCAGTTCAAAGCCAGCCCCGGGCAGGAAAGTCTGTGAGAGTCTCATCTCCCATGAACCACCAGAAAACCAGAAGTGGCGCCCTATCTATCTGGCTCAAAGTGGGCAGAGCGCTCGCCCTGAGCCAAAGGAGCTCAGGGACAGCGCGCCCAGGCCCTGAGTTCGAGGCCCACGACTGACTGGGGGAAAAAAATTATAAATAAAACAACTCAGGTCTGAAGAACGGCAGCGTCTGTGCGTACCTTGGGATTGTCAATAATCGGGGTGACAACTAGATCGGCCTCCGTGTAGATGAGCTCCCGTATCTGCACCTCCAGCGCCTCCTGGCTCAGGGGTCCATCTGTGCCCTGAAATACAAGCACAGGCCACGAGTCCCACCAACAAAACCCGGGACTAACCCAAGCCGGGCATGCGTGGCTCACGCCTGCCACCCCAGCTACTCAGGAGGCTGAGATCCAGAGGATCATGGTTTGAAGCCAGCCCGGGCAGGAAAGTCCCCGTGAGACTCTTTCTCTCTGATGAACCACTCAAAAACCCGAAGTGGCGCTGTGGCTCAAGTGGTAGAGCGCCAGCCTGAAGCGCAAACAGCTCAGGGACAGCGCCCAGGCCCAGAGTTCAAGCCCCACGACCAAAACACAAAAAGAAACACTGGCAAAAAATATGGACATACTACACTTTCACCTCCTCGTAGGACCTTTTCAAACCCAGAAAGAAAAAATAAAAATCACACTGAGGAAATGTTACCAAAGCCAAAAATCCACTGTGAGCGTGCACTCACAATTCCACGACCTTCAGAGAAGGAGCAACAAAGGTCTTGCCACAAGTTTCAATTTTACAATTATGAAGTTTTCCCACACCCTGACTTGGGATTCTTTTTTTCTCAGGGCCTGGGCACTGTTCCTTGAGCTTCAGGTTCTCTGGTGGTTCACTGGAGATCAGAGTCTCACGGACTTTTCCTGCCCGGGCTGGATTCGAATTGCGATCCTCAGATGTCAGTCTTCTGGGTAGCTGGGATTACAGGCGTGAGGGACGGCTCCCGGCTGCCTATTTCTTAGACCGACAAGTACTTCTGATAGCCCGCTCACCTCGATCAGAGGAGAGTTCTTCGGCGGTGAATCCGGGGTGAGGGCCTCATCAGGATGTAAAACCACAGTGCTGGTCCTCGGGGTTGGGCGAGAACTTGAAAACACACACGAGCTGATTTAGCAGTGGGTTGAGATCTATTTAGCAGTTTAGATCAATTTAGAGGTTGATTTAGCTCTATCGTAGGCCTTGAGCAGAAAAAAAAAAAAAAGCTCAGGGATGACACCCAGGCCCTGAGTTCAAGTCCTAGGACCAGCACAAATCGTTAATTATTAGGATATTCAAGAAAATCGGTCAGGGTATAGTAACTACCTAGATTCTCATCCGAATAAAAAGCTTTCCACTCACGTCTGCGTATATAACCCTGTTGGTTTTTGGTGTGTGTGGCTTGGAAGGTAATTCCCTGGCTAGCTTACTTTATAACCTTCCCTTACAATCTGCTATATGTGTTTTAAGTAGAAACCTTACCATATTGGGTTTTTTTGTGTTTTTTTTGGTGGATTGTGGGGCCTGAACTCTGGGCCTGGGCGCTGTCCCTCAGCTCTTCAGCTCAAGGCTAGCGCTCTACCACTTGAGCCACAGTACCACTTCTGGTTTTCTAGTGGTTTATTTGAGATAAGAGTCTTACTGATTTTCTTGCCCGGGCTGGCTTTGAACCTCGATCCTCAGATCTCAGCCTCCTGAGTAGCTCGGATGACAGGCGGGAGCTACTGGCCGCCCAGCTGACGATATTGGTTTTATTACTGTGTTTTTACACGAAGGCTTGTCCAGACAGAGCAGACGTCAGAAAACACTTCAAAGGGAAATCTGATCTTTGCGCTTGGTGAGAATAAGTTATAAGGAAATATATTCCTGATTCCAGGGGCTTCTCTGCTACATGTTTTCAGTTTGCCACCTCTTAGAAATACAGTCAAAATACAAAATCGAAGACAAAGGACTGGGGACCTGGCTCAGGCGGTTGAGCACCGGCCCAGCATGCACAAGGCCCCGAGTTCAAACCCCGACCCTGTCAAAGAAACAAAGACTGAACGGTCAACTGCCATCCACTCCCTCGGGGGTTTTGCAGTCACCATACCTGAGGAGAAACATGGCTTCGTTTAACTCGCCGTCCTCGGTGCTCTTGGGGCGCAGCTCCGTTGGATTTTCTGTCGGAGGAAATGAGCATTCTGCAGCAGCAGAACGGAAAGATTTAAAAAATGAAGTGTTAACAAGGAAGACTTGAAGAATGAAATTCAGCCAGGCACCGGTGGCTCACGCCGGTCATCCCAGCGAGTCAGGAGGCTGAGATCTGGAGGATCAAGGTTGGAGGCCAGCCTAGGGACAGGAAAGTCCGTGTGACTCTGGATCTCCAATAAACCACTCAGAAAAAGCCCCAACGGGTGCTGTGACTCAAGTGGTAGAGCGCCAGCCTGGAGCAAAAGCAGCTCAGGGACAGTGCCCAGGCCCTGAGTTCAAACCCCAGAACTGACCTCAGAAAAATGAAAATTTAAACCGTTTTTTAAAAAGCTTACCGAGTCTGAAAGAGCGACATGTCCACTGGCCGCTCCTCTGACCTTTCGCTTGGGCATTCAGAGGACTCTTCAAAAACTCCCTGGAATCCTGGAGCCCAGAATGTTCCATGGCAGCTCGGCTACTACTACACAGGAGAAAGCCAAGGCGATCATGCTTGACACTGAAACTCTCTCTCCAGTTACAGACGCAAATTACAAAGTTGAACACACACACACACACACACAAACACACACAGAAATAAAGAGCTGGATGCCAATGGCTCATGCCTGTCATCCTTTCTACTCAGGTCAGGAGGCTGAGATCTGAGGATCGCGATTGGAGGCCAGACCGGGCAGGAAAGGCCATGAGACTCTGATCTCCAATAAAGCACTAGAAAACTGGAAGTGGTGCTGCGGCTCAAGTGGTAGAGCGTTCGCCTTGAGCTGAAGAGCTGAGGGACAGCGCCCAGGCCCAGAGTTCAAGCCCCAAGACTGGCAAAACAAGTGAATTTAAAAAGGGAGAAAGCAAAATCAAGAATTCCAAAAAGTGTTCTAATTACATTCATGGTGCCAGCTTGCATCAGACAAACCCCGGGTCCTCTTCAGCCATGAAAGCCCAGCAAAATCTCAGTCCCTGCTCTTCCCATCTCAGAGCAAAGGCCAGGCTCATACCCACCTGAGGCTCAGGTCTTCGAGGCCCGACTCCTGCTCATCCCTCAGCAACGCGTCCTTCCAGAACGGATGCTGCAGCAGCCCCGCCCACGTCAACCTGCGCAAAAGAGCATCAAAGGCAGCCCAGTGGGGTAGTGCACGCCTGTAATCCCAGCTCCTCACGAGGCTGAGATCTGAGGATCACGGTCTCGCGGCTGCTCAAGTGGTCGAGTGCTCGCCTTGAGCAAAAAGCAGCTCAGTGACAGCGCCCAGGCCCTGGGTTCAAGCCCCAGGGCTGGCAATCAGTCACTCAATCACATGGCCCCCATACCTTTTCTGAGGATCTTTCTGAAGTAACCCATCAAGCAAGTGAATAAAATCTGATGATGCTTTAGGAAGTGAAGAATCTATCAACAAATTTTTCAGAAAGAAAAAAGGGATCAGATCAGTAGGTAAGTCAGGCATCGACTGTAGGACCCTCCAGAACACTGAGGGGCCGGGCGCTGTCCCTCAGCTCTTCAGCTCAAGGCTGGCGCTCTACCCCTTGAGCTACAGCGCCACTTCCGGTTTTCTGGTGGTTCATGGGAGATAGGAGTCTCACGGTCTCTCCTGCCCAGGCTGGCTTGGAACCACGATCCTCAGATCTCAGCCTCCTGAGTAGCTGGGATGACAGGCGTGAGCCACCGGCACCCGACAGATGATTGTTTAACGCAGCATAAAATGTGGCAGAATTCAAGCCCCAAGACTGGTCAACAAAAACAAGAACAAAAACATCGAAAAACAAAAAAGGAGATAAATGAACTTATCTGCAGCCCGTGAGCTCACCTTTTGGGATGGGTGGCAAGGGATCTTCGTACAAAATCTTCTCAATTAACTCCGAAGGACTTTCTGAGGAGAACGGGGGCTTTCCTGAAATCATGGGAAGGGGCAAAATTAACTGGGTCAGCCAGGTGCCGGTGGCTCACACCTGTCAGCCCAGCTACTCAGGAGGCTGAAATCTGGAGGATCACAGTTCGAGGCCAGCCAGGGCATGGAAGTCCGCCTGACTCTTTTGGGGGAGTCCGCTCGTGGGGCCTGAACTCTGGGCCTGGGTGCTGTCCTTCAGCTCTGCAGATCAAGGCTTAGTGCTCTACCACTTGAGCCACAGCTCCACTTCCAGCTTTTTTTTTTCTGCTTACGTGGTGCTGAGGAATCGAACTCAGGGCCTCAAGCTTGCAAGGCAAGCACTCTACCACTGAGCCACCTTCCCAGCCCTCGCCCGACTCTTATCTCCAATGAACCGCCAGAAAATGAAGCGGTGCTATGGCTCAAGGGGTAGAACGCCAGCCTTGAGCTGAACAGCTCAGCGACAGCGCCCAGGCCGAGTTCAAGCCCTGGGACTGACAAAAAAAAAAAAAAATACATTACTAATTGTCCTCATCCATCCTCCGGTTCACAGATGACAGACTCTCTGACCCAAGGATTTCCAGCTCCTTGGTAAGAACTGCTACTAACTCTCCCTTGCTTTAGCTGGTGCTCAACCACTTGAGCCACGCCTCCAGCCCACCTTTTTGCTGGTTATTTTGGAGAGGGGACTCTCACGATCCTTCGAACCGTGATCCTCTGTTTCTCAGCCTCCTGAGTAGCAAAGGGTGACGCAGAGGAGTCGCTAAGTGCCTCGGGAACCCTGTTTCTGTTTTCATTCTGTTGCCAACCTGGCTGATTTGGGGAGGGGATCAAAACGCATCACCTGAGAACATTTCGTACAGCAGGCAGCCCACCGACCACAGGTCGCTGGCACGGGTGCAGTCCGTGCCCCTCACGATTTCCGGGGCTGTGTACACCAGAGACCCTACAACCAAAAACACACCCGACGTCTTAGGCCTCTCCCTCTCCCCGGCCCGCGTCCGGCCTGGCAGACTGGGGAGATGGCAACAGACATCAAGAAACAATGGACGTGTGCCCGGCACCAGAGGCCCACGCCTGTCATCCCAGCTACTTCAGGAGGAGGCTGAGATGATCCGGAGGATCGCAGTTCAAAGCCAGCCCGGGGAAGGAAAGTCTATGAGACTCTGATCTCCAAGGAACCACCAGAAAACTGGAGGTGGTGCTGTGGCTCAAGGGGCAGAGCGCTCGCCTTAAGCGAAAGAGCTCAGGGACGGCACCTAGGCCCTGAGTTCAAATCTCACAACCAACACCCCCCTCCCTTCTTCTCGGGGCCGCATACCCTTCACCCTGGCTTTCATGTTTCTCTTGAGGGTGTTTTCCCCGCTGTCGCCGCTGCCTCCGTCCTCGGCAGCCACCAGCGCGAAGAAGTCCTCTAGGTTTTCCCCTTCCACTTTGGCCAAGCAGAAATTGCTAAACTTCAGCGTGCCGGGACCTTCCAGAAGAATCTGTGCAGATTAAAAATAAATCAAGAATACATGCACCTCCATGTTTATTGCAGCACTGTTCACAATAGCCAGGATATGGAAACAACCCAGACGCCCCACCACAGATGAATGGATCCAAAAATTGTGGTATCTATACACAATGGAATATTATGCAGCCATTAGAAATGACAAAATAATGGCATTTGCAGGGAAATGGATGGAGCTAGAAGGAATCATGTTGAGCGAGGTAAGCCAAGAACGAAGAGACAAACGGTACATGGTCTCCCTGATAAGTGGATGCTAAATCCAAAATGTTAGGTGATATGACAAAATTAACAGGACTTAAGAAACAAAGAACTCCTGCTCATCTGGTTGAACCACTACTAAATATCCCCATGCTGCTGATCACATGTATGGTGTATAACACGTGAACACTGTTATATATTACAGACTGTGATAGACAATTTGCTCCAGGAAAAGTTAGAGTGAACTTGTGACTTTAAATGAGCATCATTATTCCACAATACTGTGAATTTCCAGAAATTATGTAATCACTTAATCACAATCAAAAAAAAAAAAGAACCTCGGGGAAGGGAGGGAGGGAGGGGATGGTAGGGGGAAAACAATGGAGGGGGTAACAATGTTGGAGAGGAAGTGTACTCATTACCTCACTCATGTAACTGTAACCCTCTGTATAGTATCTTTACAATAAAAAATTTAAAAAAAAAAAAAAAAAGTTCAGGGGCAATGCCCGGCCTCGAGTTCAGGACCTCCAAAAAAATAAAGATAAAATAAATAAATCAAGAAACTAAATCGAACAGCCCGGATGGCCCTACCAGAGATAAGCAGGCCCCAAAACCATGTGGCACCTCCGCACAATGGAATACTACTACATGTTATAAAGGTAACATGCTGTCACCGAGACACACACGGCACCACGCGCGCTCTCCTGTGTGGAAGGCAGCCGAATGGACTCCAGGAACTGGACCCAAGGGGTTGTTTTCTTTGGGAGGGTGAGGGGGGCACAGAAATGGAGGGACTGAGAGTGAACAAAGGCAGCCGTGGTCCTCACTGGACACGGAGTAGAAAATGATCTCTACGCCTTGTGGGTGGGAACGGGAGGGAAAAACTGGGGGTGAGGGAAGGAAGCATGGGGGGGGGGACACAGTCCACCAAGAAATGCGCTCGTGACCTGCCTGATCTGACTGTCATCCCTGTGTGCAGCACCTTTAGGAGAAGAGTAATTTTTTAAGTAAATAAATCGGTACAATTTCAGAGCTAGAGGCCGGTAGCTCACTCCTGTAATCCAGGCTACTGTAACTATGATCTCAGCAGTTAGGAAATGAAAAAATCAGCGGATCACCTTCCCTGGAGAAATGTCACAGAACACGATGCCCAGAGTGTGGAGATAGTGTAATCCGGCGATCACGTCAGCGCCAAATGCTCGCACAACATCTTCTGGAAGGTTCTCGTCCTGGGCAATAACTGTCTCTAAGGATCCGCCTGCAAGGCATTGAGTAAGTCATCTCCATAAGCTACCAACCTCATCTTAAAAGGAAGAAGCGAAGCCGGGTGCCGTGCCTCATGCCTGTAATCCCGGCTACTCAAGGAAGCTGAGCCCTGAGGCTCACAGTTCAAAGGCAGCTGGGCAGAAAAGCCCATGAGACTCTTATCTCCAAGGATTCATCAAAAAAAGCCAGAAGTGGCACTGTGGCTCAAGTGGTAGAGCGCTCACCTTGAGCTGAAGAGCTGAGGGACAGCGCCCAGGCCCAGAGTTCAAGCCCCACGACTGACCAAAACAAAAACTAACAAAAAACACCATTTAATGATCCTTATTATTGAGTGCATACATAGAAGCATGCAAACTTACTTTATTGCTGGACCTAGAGTTTGAACTCAGGACCTGGGGGACACTGTTCCCTGCGCTTTTTTTTTTTTGCTCAAGGCTGGTGCTCTACCACTTGAACCACAGCTCCCTTCCAGCTTTTTTGAAGTTTATTGGAGATAAAGAGTCTCACAGACTTTTCCTGCCCAGGCTCAGATCTCAGCCTCCTCAGTAGCTAGGATGACAGGTGTGAGCCACCGGTACCAGGTGCCATCCCCGCCCCCCCCCCATTATACTGCTAAAAAATAAAAATAAAAGGTTGTCATGCTCATCTTTCCCTGTGCAAAGACACTGCTGTAACCCAGAACGGCCACCAGGTGGCAGCATGGGACAGTGCAACTTTGCTCCCGCACTCCACTTGCCCACAAAATAAGAGATAATAACAATAAATCACTATAAAAAAGTAGGGTGCGTGAGGCTCTGCCTTAATACTTTTTTTTGGGGGGTAAGGGAGGTGGAACGTGCCCGTACTGGGATTTGAACTCACGGCCTCACACTCTTGTTTAGCTGTTTTGCTCAAGGCGGGTGCTCTACCACTTGAACCACACTGCCCTTTCCTGTTTGTGGCAAGTTAATCTGAAGGGTCTCTCGGGTTTAGCTGCCCAGACAGGCGTGGGAACACGATCCTCAGATCTCAGCCTCCTGAGTTAGCTGGGAGGACAGGGGTGTGCAACTATGCCAGGCTCCACACGCGCCAGTGGCTTTCACCCCTGAAGAGCGACACAAGGGTTACCGGCCTGCCCGGGGAATACTCTGGATTGTGCTACAGTAGATGCATGTGTGGACATTCGAGGTAGTTCTCACGAGATCTGGTGCCCAGGCTTACCCGTGCAGAGCTCCACCACGAGCCACAGGTGATTGCTGGTCTCGTACCATTCGTGAAAAGTCACGATATTCTTGTGCTTAATTTCATACGTGAGACGGACCTGCCGGGAAAGCGGGAGGGGGGAAAAAAGGTTCTTGAACTCTTGCACGTAAAAACCACTTCAGTGAGCGATCAGGAGATAGATGAAAAAAAGATGTAACTCATTTTCAGACATTAAGAAAGGCTAGCCACAGGGAAATGAGGCTAACGATGTCTCATCTTCATGCCTATTAGGATGGCTACTCAGGAGGCTGACATCTGAGGAGCCTAGTTCAAAGCCAGCCTGCGCAGGAAAGGCGGGGAGACCCTGACCTCCAATGAGCCACCAGAAAACCAGAAATGGAGCTGTGGCTCAAAGTGGTACAGCACTAATCTTGAGCACAAAAGCTCAGGGACACTGCCAACTCCCTGTGTTCAAGCCCCAACAGAAAAATAAAATTAAAAAAATCCCAGGCTGGGCACCAATGGCTCACGCTGGTCATCCTAGCTACTCGGAATGCTGAGATCTGAGGATCTCAGTTCAAAGCCAGCCCTGGCAGGAATGTCTGTGAGACTCTTTTCTCTCCAATGAACGACAAGAAAACCAGAAATGGAGCTGTGGCTCAAAGTGGTAGAGCGCTCGCCTTGAGCACAAAAGCTCAGAGACAATGCCAAGGCCCTGAGTTCAAACCCCAGGACCAACAAAAAATAATAATAATTTTTAAAAATCCCCAGGACTTTCTTGTCCCAGCTGGCTTCAAACCACAATGCTCAGCTCTCAGCCTCCTAAGTTTAGCTAGGATGATAGAAGTGAGTGTCCAGTGCTCAGTTTATAACTTACTTTTTTTTCCTCTCTTGTTTTACTTTGTTGATGGTTCTGGGTATCAAACCCAGGGCTTTGGGCTCTACCACTGAGCTACATACCCAGCTCTAACTATATATCCTTGAACTTGACATCCTGCCACCTCCCAATGCCAGGATTACAGGCGTCTGCTACCACACCTGGCATTTGGCTACTTTCTCCTCTGACCAGAGCACTGCCTCTTCCCAGCGTGGATGGACGGGCCGCACACTCACCCAGTTGGTGATTTCCGGTCTCTTGCACTTTTCAGCACACAGGATGGCCACAAAGTTGATCGTCCCCTTCCGCCGCCCTTTGTAGACCACGGTGTTGGTTCCTCTGCCAATCTCCTCATAGAGAATGAAGTTTTCCATCTCTCGGCTGACTCCTCACATGGGGTAAGAATGCATCTTTAGCTCCTAAAAGGCAAACAGAAAGGACACTGATAAAACTAGCTGGGGGAAGGATGCATTTGCTTAATGGGTGCATGAATATGTAAATATGCAAGTTCATCAATTCCATGTATGAGATTCTTAGGTCCAATTTACTAGCAAACTGTCACAAGCGGAGGTATGGCTCAAGACGCAAAGCACCAAGCCTTAAGTGGAGTTAAAAAAAAAAACTAGGGGACAGCGCCTGGGCCCTGATTTCAAACCCTGTACAGACACGCGTGCACAGGCCAAAATCAACTGTCACTTTGTCCCTGGAAACTGAACTCAAATACAGAAAACTGCCCACAATGAACCTAATAGAGAAATACCCTACAGTCAGCATCCGCCACCCGAGGAACCCCAGAATCTACCCTCACCCCCCAAATAGTCACCTACCTGACTCTCTCTTCTCCCCTCCTCACATTTCTCTGCAACTCTTCTACCCAAAGTATGCTGTTCCTGGCAGCGTCGTTTTCCCCCTGCTTTCCAAGAAAACAGTGCTGTGTGTTGAGTCTCTGGGTTTTTCGTCCTCTTCTTATTTTTGTCTACTTAGGCTCCTTCAAATTCACTTTAAAAAGCATCAGGAACGCCGCCCCCCACCCCCCCGCCAGGTGAGAGCTAATTCACTGCACGTGCATCTCACACGCGTGTGCGCACACGCAAAAGCACAGGTGACTGCGATTAACTGGAAGATTCCCAACTCATTCCCTGCCTTCATGGAAGCTTCCAGAGTGCCAACACCTGTTATTTAACAAATGCAAACCCTGAGGCCTGTGCAGGCCCGTGGATTCCCCACTGAGCAGATCCAAGGCTGGGGTTGCAGGGCGCCCCAAGTTTATTCCCTCCCATACCCCTCCCCCCCACCTCTCTCCACACCCCCACACACCCCTCTCCACACACCCCCTATACCCCCACTCCCCACACCCCTCTCCACGCCCCCCACACCCCTCTCCACACACCCCCAAACCCCACATCCC